GTCCTAATTCTTCTTGGGCAAAAGAGGCAGTAATACATATACTGTGTAATATTTAACCTAAGTGACTGGATTGATGCATAGACTTGTGTTGTGCTGGCCATGACAAAAACATGTAACAAAAGGACAAGCCCTACAAAAGGATCCTTTAATTTAAGAAAAATAACAGTGTTCACATGACTTTCATTGTAGGCATTGCACAGTATGCGTACACTCACAAACATATAGTTAAATGTTCCCACAATATATATCGTGAACAACAAACATTTAACTATCAGTAACTTACAGTATCTTATCAGTAACTAACAGTAATCAGATGTCCAAAGAGATTTCTGTGGGAGAGGGCACTGGGTACATGGAGGGATGGTTTAAGGAACAGTAGAAAAGTAGCTTCCATCATCTTTGCAGCACACCAAGAAAAGAGGCTCTTCCCTGCACACCTTAGGAAGCAAACTCTCTTCTGTAGGCTTTAAGAAGCCTTCTGGAAAAGAGGGCTACTGCATAGCAGCCAAAACCTGAGTTCACACCTCTGGTTATAGCTTAACTTGCAAAATATAGCATGAAACTACTGAGCTCTGAGGTTTTTGATGGGAAAAAGCTTTCTCTGGTGGTTTCCCCAAAGGGGATTTATTCTGTAAAAACTATATCGAGTAACACTTTCTGCCTTAAAAGCAACTCATGCAAAATTAATTATATTGCACTATGTTTGGGGGAAAATACATTTTACTACAAGTTAATTTGAAGAAAAAATATTATACAATGAATGCTATAACAGTTATGAGTTGCCTTAACAGCATTTATAAATCAAATCACTGCACATCGATAACTTTAAAACTAACCTACATCAGGCTTTTGGAATAATGTACAAGTAAAACAGTTTTTGAATAGCTATGTATTTTTCATAAGTTGTGGCTGACGGTGAAAAATGTGGATTATTTGTTAAAAAATACAAAAATGAATTATTTTCTTTTGCTTTTAAGACTTGATGAATTTTGCATGTTCTGTTTTCCACAGCTTTTTGGAAGTAATATGGGAGCCAAAGTCCTTAGACATTTTGGGACTCTTCATTGAAAATATTTCTAATAAGAAATCACTAATTACATGCCCTCTTTACAGACAGACAGGAATTTCATTCATAGAAGTTAATAAATTAATAAATTGTGAGGAAAAAAGGGACTTGTGATCCTCTAGGATCACCTGCTGTTTTATACTGGCCAAAGTAGTGATTTATTTCTTGCTAAATACTTTTCACCCCTTGAGCAAGAAACTTGTATGACTCATGTTTCAACTACAGAACATCAAAAAAAATGCAGTATTGATCTGCATGTTGAAGAGACTAAAGATTCACCCACAAGATACCTAACTTACTTATCACCCTTTGGTCACCCCAAAATATGGGACAATTTTCTTGACTATTTTTCCCTAATTGTGGCTTTCAGCCACCAGCTCTTGCAAGGCCTTTGTCTGCTTGTGTAAATACCTTTCTGTTCTGAGAAATCCTCTCCTGGGCCACAGAGGAATCTGAGGTCAGGCAAGATGCTCTGTGCACAGCCGAGCCATGCTGTGCATGAGGACACGGGCCTGCCTCCCTGGGGAGCAGGGAAGGAAGGAAGACCCAGGACTCTCTCATTCAGACTGACCCTCACATCTGGACTCTTGCCCTCTAGTGGGCAGCACATAAGAGCACGGGGCTGCTCATACATCTCCTCGAAACTTTAGTGCCTTTTGTCCCCCTCCAGCCATCACTTCAGGGTATGGATACCTCTGCTCACAGGTACCTCCTCCAAGCATTTAGATACTGCTTTTAAGGCCAGGTTTAAATTAGCTTTCCCTACTAACTTCTTTTTGAAGCCTTTTTCCAACTGTCAAAGGGAGCCTCCTTTTGTCTATAAATCACTGGTGCCTGCTGTCCTGACCAGATTTGTTTGGGGATGTTTTACAGAGTAAGTGGAAAAACATTGAGGCAAATGTGTTTTCTCCCTTCTCTCCCCATCCCCAATATCTGAAGTGTCTTCTCCATGACATCTCACCTCAGAAATAATTTCTGTACCAAGAGCAAATCTGGTGAAAAAGATCTCACACTGTTATTATTTCTCTTTTAAATTCTTTAACTCGCTGGAAAAGTTTGTGTTCACCAAGCCACTTGCATAATGTCATATCCATAGCAGCGAAAGTCCCCAGAGCAGGTTGACAATATTAAATAAAATAAATTACACTCCTATAAATAATCTTGTTCTCAAAGTATACATGCACAACATGAACTGCCAGTGTTGCTGACTCTTGTGAGTTTACTTCAAATTTTGCAAGATTAGGTCTTCTTCAAGACCCAGCTCCTCGAGGGGACGACTTCAGGACAAAATGTCTGGGGTTTTCCTCTTCTACTACTGTCTTTCAATAATTCTTTTTCTGCCTTTCCTTCCTGACTGTGGAAAAGCCTACAGTACAGTGTGAATGTATCTGACAGGCTTAAAAAGCAGGCAAATAACGTATTTATTCTGTTCCTTTAAACCGATTACCTTACAGTAACCACACAGTTCACTTATATTAAGTGACTGATCTTTCCCCAAAGTATAAGATGGGTAAGAAAAGCAAAGGAAATAATATTATTTTCGTTTTACAGACAGTGAATTAATTCAGTTACTTATGCTGGATCCAAAGCCTATTGATGTCAATTGATTGCTCAGGATAACACAGCCAAACACACCTCTTCTAAATCCCTGACACTGCATTCAGCACAAGACATCTTCTCTTTCTAAATACCAAAACTAGTTAGATATATCATCATTTTGCAGACTTTACAGAGCTCTCACTAATCTGAATAGGATTCATATGCATATGCAAGAGTCTCATAGAAACTAACCCTCTGTAAGCAGTGACTGATATTTAACCACATAGCATTAATTATCTAATCACTCTGCCTGAGTTTCTCTTCGGTAGATAAAAAAAGAGGTCTTCTCTCTGCCATTATAATATAGTTTGTCCCTTGAGATTTATTAATCTGAGAATATTACAAATGTATTTGCTAAATCATAATAGTCTGATCTACTAAAAATATGCAATAAGAGTATCAATACATACATTTTAAAATCTATGGTTCCTATTCTCTCCTGCTATAAATCCTGACAAGTAATAATTACATGCAACCTTGAGAAATGAAGCTAATCATAATTATCTTACAAACAGAAAACAGGCATTAGAAGTGTCATGTTGGGTCTACATCAGTGTAATATTTAATTAAGCAGAAGACTATGCATAATCCAGTAAAATAGTCTCTTGCTTGCTCTAAAAACAAGCTGAAATGAAGTTCACCAGTACTAACAGTGTTCACGGAAGTAAGGAACTCAACTTCTGAATTTCAGGGTTGCCTTAGGAAGGGTTTATCACAGCAAATTAAGACACAGGTGAACGTGCATTCAAAAGCCAAATTCTTTAGGCAGCCTTGGAAATTCAGCCTTGCACTATACTTACACCAATCCACTGGTTTTGTGCCCCCCCCCCCTCCAAAAAAAAAAAAAAAGAAAAGAAAAAAAAAGAGTCCATACTTCTGGTCATGGCTGTGTAAATTGAACATAGATTTCTGAGCAGACGCTTCCAGTTTACCATTGTTACTGCTCCTCTGTGTGTATTTTACCTCTTTATAGAGAATACTTTGCAATCACCACTCATAACTCTTTCCACCACTACAGGGGCAGAGACCATGGTTTGGAGAAAGTAAAGAAAATGCTCAGGCTCATCAAAATTCAGAATAAGGATTAAAACACGAGTCTGCCATTATCCCAGCAGACTACAGTTCTTCCATGCATCATGGAAGTATTCTTGAAATGCGCCTCTTCAGCTGATTCTGTTTCTCTTAATATATTTCTTTTAATGACACTATAGGGAAGCTTAAGATGACAGACTCAAGTCTTTTTTTTGGGATCAGAATTTTACTTAGTATAGTATTTAGATAACTTTTTAATAACTGTGTAAATATCACTCAGTAAATTAAATAATACAAACATTATCATTAGAACTCGTCATCACATTTGACCATTTTGTACATGTTTCCCCTTTTATTTTGCCCCATTAAGAATGAACAAATGAGACATTTACCTTTAATTAGGCATACAAATTGAAAAAAACACCCTTTAAATGATCAAAAACACTAGAAATCTGGTAGTATTCCACCCTGCATATTTCAAAGGCATTAAATTAAACATTTGAAGCAAACTTATCCACCAGTTCCAGCTGTTGCCAGTGAGGATAAGGGATTTTTTTATTTTATTTTTTTTCTTCTAGCAAAACAGTAAGTCTCAAAACTCTACTATGCTACTGAAAAATCCTATGGTCTAAATAGATTAGGATTCCCATTTCCATGGCACTCAAGAGACCAGCTCTTCTGCTTAGGGACAATGAATCACAAAAACTGTGATGAAAATATTTATGAAGCATGTTTTCAGCTGTTTACTGTGTTGTAAACTTCCTTTCTACCCCGTCCTCTCATACTACTTATACAACTTGATTGTAGTTTATATTTTTAATTCACATTATAAAACAAAAAAAGCACCTCTTTTAGCTAAGACCCTTTGTTTAAAAATTAAAGTTTTTAAAAATTTCCAGGTTCCCACCCAATCTGGTAAGTAGGGCACATCTGAGTACATTTAGAGACCAACAAGAACCCCCAGCATTGCAGTGATGCTAAGCTTTGCAAATGTATTAAAAATGAATATCCATTCTGAAGCAGACATTTAAGTATCATATTCTGAAATAAACACTGTAATCTAACTGTCAAGAGACAGCCTAAGGACATATCTTGAGCCCACAGAGCAGCCAGGAGTTCTAAAAGAAACCAGTGTTGGAAAACAGCCAAGGATTGTCACTAACAAAAAGTTCTGAGTATCTCCCAGAGAAAAGGAAAGTATTTCTATTACAGAATAAGACCACAACAGAGTGAAAACAGAGTCCCTGAACTGGCACTGTATGAACCAGGCACATCCCCAGCGAGCTGGGAAAAATACACTCACCTTGTCCACAATGCAGATCTGCTTCTTGCTTTGTACATCAAGAATTTCCACTTCAAAGTAAGTGATTTTTGAATGTTTGAGCACTGGTGGTGATTTGAGATGGCCAGCAGAGAGCACAAGCTGAGAGAAGTTGAAAAAAGAGCGCGTGTCATTGTGGGACATGGACAGAGCTCCTCCATGAGCTGCAAGATCCTTCTTGTGTTCTGGAGCACTGGGTTTCTGCCTCCTGTGCATGGTGTGTCCCAGCAGTAGCGACTGTCATATCAACAGGGGACAGATCCAGGGGGAAAATGTTTCCTCCCTTCATCAGTTAAATACAATCACAGACTGACAAGACATGAAAGGTCAAGTGGCATTCCATTTTAAGACTACTGTCTTATTTAGCAGGAGTGAAAACAATGGCTCTGTAATCCATCTCTATATTTAACCTGCTATTGTGATGTGCTGTATCGCTGCTGCTTTCTTTTTCTTTTTATTTAAACCAGCATTTGAAACAACACAACTAGAGATTCCCTATTAGAAGTCAGATCCTGAAATTCCAGAGACCCAAAGGAATCAAATTAATGCAGCAAATTCCACTGTTATCTACAGAGACAGATGTTTAGAAGTGTCCACATATATGCATATGTGAAGGTATGTGTGTATATATATATATTTTATGTGTGTGTTTATGTATGCAGCTTTAGTATGTATGTACAAAATTATGTCAGATGTCATCTATTCTAGAAATATTTACTAACAAAATGGCAGGAGTTCATCAGCAAAATTTAGGGGTTACTTGTAAATATAGAGATGATCTCATACGTGCTTGTATTTAATACTATGAACTCTTATTTAATGGGGTAGAGCTTTCCTTGCAGCTCTGCCAGGGGAACTCAACTGAAGTAAAGGAAATTATAACCATAAAGGCAGCAATTCAGGGCTTGGATCATTTTACTATTTTCTTATTCTTTCCTGACCATTAGTTTTCACAATGTAAGTCTGCAGCAAAACAAAGGTAGCCTTAATGATAAAAATAAGGATTACATAAAACAACAAATTTTCTCTAAAAGGGCTTCCCCAAGCCTTGTTTAAACTTCAGTTTTCCTTGTATGTCTTTTTAATAGGTTTTAATAGAACTAGCAGCACTTTTCCATCCTGAGATTCTCCTTAAATTTCCCTGAGCTGCCTAGGATTAGTAAATTAGAAAGGCACCATAGATTTCTGCAGACAGCTCTTTCCAGTAGAGACACAGAATAGGTTCTGAATACATTTCTGTGGTATTTTCATGGTAGAACCCCATGGAAAACTACAGTAACTATTACAAAAATTATATAGGTTTGTTACACTAAGGAAATTTAATTAAGTGAAAAAAACCTTCCACAAGATAAAAGGGACCACACAACTAATACCCCCTCTGGGAGTCAGGGTGAAAACAGGTCTCTTTGATTCTGCTATAATTTACAGAAAATTTAGTGGTCACCACACCTTGTCTAGCAACGCATGGCAAGAAGCTCTGTGAAATAATGAAAAAACTCACTGATAAGTTGTTGCAAGAATAAGAGGGGGAGCCCCAAAGGAAGGCAATTTCCAAACTAAAGCTGCTCTCCTGACAATATTCAGATATGGTCATCTACAAGTTATCTAGTTACTGTTGAAGGAATAATCCATGCTACATCAAGTTGTATATGTGCTTAAGTTCTGGAGAATCAAGCCTGTGTGTATGAAATGTGTTCTGTTTATAGACATGGAAAAGATGTAGGAGAAGGAAACAGCAAATTAGCAGGGGCTGAACTCATGGACAGGTCTGAGCTCAGTGGTAACAGGACTGGGCATTTGAAATTACAAAATACTTGCAATATCAAGAGCTGGTTTAATTTATATATGATTTTTTAGCCAGTTGTTCTGACTAAAGAGGCTAACCCCACCTCATAACTAAGATGCTTTATGTCCATATGACATGACAAACTTCTGTGTAGCTAAGGTCTGAGAGAGAAGCCCCTGTTTCTTGATAGTCATGAAGCCTTTGAATGCCTTCACTGGATTTGTTAGAGGAAAGCTCTGACTGTAATGCAGATATATAACAATATTGGTCACCTAATACACATAATGATTTAATTTTGGCTATTCTGAAATCAGTTAGTGTTTTGCCATTGATGCAAAACAAGTCAGCATCTAAAGAAAAAAATTTTTAGACATGAACAAGATTATACTATGATCAAAGAAGTACACCTGTCTCTGAGTTGAGATGAAAGGTGTGCAAGGAACTGTCACCTTGGTAGAGTCAATATAGCAAGCACAAATTCTGGTATAAGCTAGTCAGAACACAGAGAAACAATTTATTGTCTAACTGTAAGGTGCTTGCTAAATACAGCCAGGTAAAGACCACAGAACACACAGGTCCTAAATTGCAAGTGAGAGACACACTTATCTGAACAGACTACTGTAAGGAAACTATAAATTGCTGTGCAAAAGATGAGACAAACTGTTATAATACCCCCTTTTAACTGTAAAATCTAGGAATCAGTGAGCTGTAATAGCATATATTAATAAATTTCTAAATTTATTTCAATTCAAAAGCAATAAAGCATAATATTGATCATCATGGCTAATTTCTGTGTATATAAGGAACTGGCGTTACAGTCATTAATGTGGGTATATTTACAATGTTATTTAAAATGCTAACATCTGAGCTGCTGCTTCTGAAGAAAAAAGCTTTTGATTTAATGCAGACATTTAAGTTTTCAGAATTTTATTACTGACCAATGAACACTTGAATTCTGAATTCCAGGAAAATGCTTATAAAAAATATTTTTATACTCTTTCAGTCTAAACTAATCATATGCAATTTCCAGATTTATATACACAACAATCTTTATAGAGCCAAATACCTTGCTGGCATAAACTAGCAGGGCTTCACTGAAGGTGACTGGCCCCTTCCTCACTGTATTAAATTAAATTATGATTAGACTGCAGCGCCATGTTTACAGCAACCATATTACTTGCATATAAGGTGGGTGAGAGCTACTCCACCAAAAATAATCAGGGATACAGTTAGCACTGATAACCTAAGCTCTAAAAGGGAGATGCATAAAAGCAGTGGAGATTTTTCCATTAATGTGACAAGTGCTGCACTTGCTTGAAATGACATCAATGGGTTTGGATGTTCTGGCTCAATACGAAGTAATTCAGCGACTTGTACGTAGACATGCACACAGAAGAGAAACATTAATTACTGGACAAAAGGCACATCCTTCCCTTTGAATGCAGTTATATGTACCTCATCTCAATCCCTAACACTGGAGATGGGGAGTCTCAGCACATGGGCACAAGCGATCAGTCCTATGGTGAGATTTATTGATCCATATTACACAGGTACAAGCTGCTGTTCCCAGAGCTGTGGCAGGGCTAGTAGCCAGCAGTCACTAAGTCCCTGACCTCAGCTTCATTCTGGGACTCAGAGGAGTCAAAGAGCACTCAGCAAGAATTAAATCATCTCTGACAGCTTCAACTTGCACTGCATTTCCTGCCATATAAGGGGCAAATATTTTTGAGGGGCCACAAGGATGGGCATAACTGTTCTCAAACTGTGGCTCTACCTCCTCTCCTCACTTGGCACCCGGCTGACATGAGCTGTTTTGCAGACAGGCAGGCATTTTGTTAAGCCATCCTTCTGATAGACACTTTTTCCAGGAGGGAGGGAATCCTCCCCCTAAAGCATGCAGCAAGGCCATTATTCCTGGTTAACTGAACTGCTGATATTTTCACAACAAAAGCAACACCTGTAGTGGACTTCTTGCACTCTTCTAATACAATATCCTGAAACGAGTATCAGCCTGTGCAGGTCATGACCAAGCAGGTAACAAAGTGCTGGACAGGGACTACAATTTAGCATTCAGTTTCTGCTCATGACACTGATTTCCTGTGAGGTGTTAAGGAACTGCTGGTTTTCAGGTTTTTCCCTTCCCCTTCCACATGCCTTCTCTGAGTGAGGCTCTCTTGCACTGTGCATTTTGCAGACAGCTTCACACAAAGGGATTTCTCAATATCTCAGATGGGGCTTTAAGGTGCTTCTGAAGGGGCTTCTGAATTTCCTTTTAATCTTTGGTCACGTTTTCTACTCATCCTTCCCCAGAGAACTGGTCATCTCCTTTCAGTCTGCAGAATGTCAACTGTTAAGTCAGCAGCAGAGGGTCACTTCTGTCAGTCCAGATGCTTGTCAGCAGCCCCTCACACATCACTTTTTTATTCCATGCACTTTGAACGCTTGGTGGAAGCAGGATTATTCCTTTCCCACCAGCTTTGTGATGCCAAAGAAGTGAACAATGTCCCCAGGACACAAGACTCCAGAGCCCGAAGTATGTAGGGTTTGGTACCGCAGGCTATGCAGCCTAAAGCAAAGCAGATTCCCAAAGTCACACATACTCACTTCAGCGTCCCAATTTTGGGGATTCTGTCATTCTTTTTGCTGAGGAAAGAGACACTGAGACCAAGTGCTCAACTGTGTTGCAAACAAGCAGTGAGATCCACTTGCTGAAGGAGGTCTGAACCAATACATTCAGGTGATCCATACCATGCCCCATGGCCTCACCGCCCTTGTTCAGCATCTGTGCAGCCCACACGCCTGGTTCTGTGCTTGATCTGATCAGCACTCCTCCACATCTCCCCACCAATCTTGGATTTAATGTTGTCAGAGACAGGCAGGAGTGTAGCTGGGCTTTCAGTCTCTTTTTACTGAGCTGTCCAAGGAAAGATTTAAGAACCTGATATCATTTAGTCATTTGGAAAAACACTAACAATAATTTGCTTGTCTGGCTCCTGGCTTCATCTGGCTGAGAGTTTAGGAACAAGTTTACCAATTTATTTTGGGGGATAATGCTTTTAAATATTTGGTTTGATTCTGTTATCCATATAATATTAGTAACAACTAGAATGCACTTCTGAAGCATAGCAGAAATTTAAGCATGTGAGCCCAGCTGTTAGAAATGAAGAATGTAGACCTAAGATTGCAGTGTATCATATGTGAAATTTGATACTGTTATTCCCAAACACTGTTTATAAAGGCTGAATGGTTAAAAAAAAAAAAAGAGACAAAACCTGCATAATAGACCTCTGGGATTTCTTTGCCTGCACATGCCTACCTTAGCAGCCTCAAAATCAATTTAAAGCATTATATCTACATGTGCATACACACAAAAAGCCACTTAGAATCTGGTCCACAGTGTTACTACTAAAACTACTTGGGTACTTTATTTTTTTCTCTTGAAGCTAAATCTCTTAACAAATAAGTAATGGA